CTTGACTTAAATAAAAATATAAAATTATTAAATGCAAATTATACATAGTCTGCATTTGATAATTTTATACTTTTCATTTACATCTATACATTGTCTGCAGTTTAGATACTGACCATTATAGATCGCTGTTTCAACAGTCTGGCACACTGGGAAATTTTTTTAAACATTTTAAAGGCACTGCTAAAAAAAAAGTACATTATAATATTTTTATCATAATGCAAAAATTTAATTATTTCTTTTGTTTATCTTGCTTAAGAAGAATTGTTTTAAGTACTTTAAATTTTGCAAACTACAGAAAGCATGAAATGGTTATAAAAAAATATTTACTTTCTTATTTATTATATATTTAAACTATGTTAGTTTTATTAGAATCTTGTTGAAATAAATACTTAAATAAAGAATTATACTATACTCTTTGATAAATTAAAGAATATTTGTTTCTTTACTAAATGATCATAATAGTAAGTTGTTACTTTTTATAAAAGTTTCGTTTAAATTTATAAGAAAAATATAAAAGAGAAATTTATAAATAACTTATTATAAATGCAATTTGCTTTGTCTTAGTTAAGTTTTTTTTTGTTAAGAACTCATTTCTTATTTTAATTCATTTTTTAATTAGTTGTCTTCCGTCAAATTAAGTTTTTTTTTGCACTTTTTGAAATATTCTCAAAACATCTAAAAAGCCATAGTCATGTTATTGCAACTAAATATTATATGCATCGTCAAATATAGAGTGCCATCGCACCCGCTTCTGGACCAAGCCTGGAATCTAATAACTTTCTTTCTGATCATCGATATGGTTTTCAATCTTCTCGTTCTACTGCTGATTTATTAATGGTAATAACCAATAAGTTTTATCGTACATTAGATAGATGTGGAGAAGTTGAGACTATTGCTCTCAACGTTTCTAAATCTTTAAGACTATTGAATCGTTCCTTACCAATCATAGTATAAAAGTTGTCCTTGATGAAGAGCATTTTTCTTTATTTCCTGTAACTTCAGGGGTTCCTTAAGGTTTTATCCTTGGCCCTATACTTTTTTAATTTACATTAATGATCTCCCAGAAATTCTTACATCTAAGGTGTCATTGTTCACTGACAATACTACCATTTATTTTTATGTTGATAAGAAGTCAACACTCTCTGATTGCTTTGAGGGGCCTTTTGAGTTTGAAAAGGGTCTCACTTCTGCTACAGCATGGGGCTCTCAGTGGCTGGTGAACTTTAAGTCAGACAATACTCAATTTTTTTCAGCTAATCATTATTGCAACAACCAAGATCTTCCTATACTTAAGAACAGTAATGTACTTGATGAATCACCTACTCTTAATCTTCTAAGATTAACTTGTACTTCCAATCTTTCTTGGAAACCATATATATTAATTCCATTGCAAAATTAGCACCTGCTAAGGTTGCATCTCTTTATTGTGCTTCAAGTAACTTTTTAAAAGTAAAATTTTTAATGTAAAATTGTTTTTTGATCGTGTCAAATCCAGAAACTCACTGGGTTCAAGTCCTACTAAAATGTACATTTTTTAAAACCTTTACTTCAAGTCTAATAAAATATAGTTTTTAATTTTTCTTTAAAATTTTATTAAATATTTTTCAGCTTTAAAAGATTTTATATTAATTGGTAAAACTCTAAGGTTTATAACATCAAGGTTTATTTTTTATTGTTTATAAAATATTATATATAGGTATTTGAAAATATGGTTAAAATAAATATATCTAATTTTTAAGTATATTTCCTTTACAATTATTATATTATAACTATAAATATTATTTAGGAAAAAAAAATCTAACCTCTAACTTAAAGCGCAATTCAAAATTTCCTTTTAATGATGCAGCCTGATTTTTTGCTTCCTAAAAATTCAAACAATAATTACAACAAAAAGCAGCATGCAGCACTTAAATAATTTTTTTTATTATTATTATACCTCTTTTTCTAGTTTCTGTTTGTCTTGAATTTCTTTTAAATTCTGTTTAATCTTTTTCAATGTTTCATTTTCCTGTCTCAATTTTTCTTTCATCTCTTGGATTTCTGCTACTTTTTGTTTTCCATCTTTGCTGTTTCCATTGCCTAATTTTTAATGAAAAAAGATTTAATTAGGTAACTTAATTAATTTTTACAAAAATCCTGTAATAAATAAATTATTAAACACCTGCTTCATTAAGCTTGGTATATTCAGTAATCATCAACTGAAGCTGATCTTTCAAGGCATCCGCAACATTTCTGACTTCTTTGTATTCAATCATTAACTGAAAATTTTGTAAAAAATACTTAAAATAAAAGCAATATAAAGCAGAACATCACTCTTAAAGTAGAACATCACTCTTAAAGTAGAACATCACTCTTAAAGTAGAACATCACTCTCAAAGTAGAACATCACTCTAAGAGTAGAACATCACTCCTAAAGTAGAACATCACTCTCAGAGTAGAACATCACTCTTAAAGTAGAACATCACTCTCAAAGTAGAACATCACTCTCAGAGTAGAACACCACTCCTAAAGTAGAACATCACTCTCAGAGTAGAACATCACATTTAAAGTAGAACATCACTCTTAAAGTAGAACATCACTCTTAAAGTAGAACATCACTCTCAAAGTAGAACATCACTCTCAGAGTAGAACACCACTCCTAAAGTAGAACACCACTCTCACAGTAGGACATCACTCTTAAAGTAGAACATCACTCTTAAAGTAGAACATCACTTTTAAAGTAGAACATCACTCTTAAAGCAGAACATCACTCTTAAAGTAGAACATCACTCTTAAAGTAGAACATCACTCTTAAAGTAGAACATCACTCTTAAAGTAGAACATCACTCTCAAAGTAGAACATCACTCTTAAAGTAGAACATCACTCTTAAAGTAGAACATCACTCTTAAAGTAGAACATCACTTTTAAAGTAGAACATCACTCTTAAAGCAGAATATCACTCTTAAAGTAGAACATCACTCTTAAAGTAGAACATCACTCTTAAAGTAGAACATCACTCTCAAAGTAGAACATCACTCTCAAAGTAGAACATCACTCTCAAAGTAGAACATCACTCTCAAAGTAGTACATCACTCTTAAAGTAGAACATCACTCTTAAAGTAGAACAAAACTCTTAATAGAAATGGCTCATAAAATATTTCAATACAAAGTTAATACAAATAATTTTAAGAACAAGAAATATAAATAATCTTGCAAATGAAAAATCTTTTAAACTAATTTTTTATTTGTATATTAGAAAAATTTTACTCTTTCTTTGTCTTTTTGGAGATTAGCAAGCTTTGATTGAACATCTTTACTTCCTTTCTTCATTGAATCAAGAACCCAATCCAAAATACCCTAGTCGATAATAATTTTATTTTCTCAATAACTTTTTTTATGTTTAATACTTAAATAGATTTTATTCATTTTATATACAATATAGTTTTATTAATTTTTAAATGTAATAAACTACTTTGCTTGACAAGTGATGTTTTCGTTCTTCTAAAAACATTTCCGACATTCGTTGTTTTTCCTCCCATGTTTGCATCTTTGCTAGTTGGAGATCTTTAATTAACTCCTTTGGCGAATACAAAAAAAATTATTATAATTTAATTATTTAATTGGGCAAAACAAAACGAAAAAGTGCTTCTATAATTCTAGTTTTTAATTGACTACAAACTGCAATCTGCTAAGGTACTACATAAAAACTTAATCTAAAAAAAATAGTATAATGAAAAACATCAAATTAGAAAAGAATTTTATTAATAGCTTTAATAAAACATCTTTTAGTCAAAGAAAATAATTAAACTTTGAATACTATGAAAATTGAACATTTGTATCAAAATTAAAAACTTTTACCTCCATTCTTGATACATCATCATTATTTGGAGTGTCAACCATTTTTCCTGTATTGATAGAAAGGCGCTCTCTTAACTTAGAAATTTCTTCACGCAAACCTTTTATAACCATGGTGTAATCAGTCTATTAAAAAACATCATTATGCTTTATACAACTATTATTATAATTATTAATATAACAAACTATAATATTAAATTACACTAAAAGAAAATTCAAAATAAAACTCCTTAATTTTAATATTATCAAAATTTTGTCATCCTCTATTTAATTTATTCTGAATAATACCAAACAACGACATGTGTTGGTAATGACCAATACGTCCACAATGGAAAAACGGAAATCATGAAGTTTCTTTTTAACTTTCGAATTTTAAACCAAGCTACTAAATTTATCATGTTATAAAATTCTTAAAATCTTACAAAATATCTCACAGAAAATTAAATATAAATTTTCTATTTTTTCATAAACCTACGTTCATTGCTTTAAATCATCTAAAAAATTATACTTTTTTTTAAAAATACAGCATTGCTAGTACATTGTTGTTGCATAAATATGCAAAAGCTTAAATTTCATGAACATTTTAATAAAAACAACCATCATTAAAATCTTAATGAAATATTATATATACAAAGCCATATACTCTCTTAACAATTATCAATTATAGTTCTTAAAAATTACAATTGACATTAAAATGTACACATAAACGACAATCAACACATTTAAGAATACTAGAATGCACAACACCAAATTTACAATAGTAAAATAGATTTATACAGTGAATTCATAAATTCATAAAAATAATTTTATTCCAAGTAGAATAATCTTATAAAAATCAAAATCATAAATCTCAAAAAAAAAAGAAAAGAAAAATCTTACAAAACATGGTTAAATCATGCATAGTGGAAACACTGGTAATGAACAGGTAAATGTGTTGTATTTTTCTCTTACTTTTATTAAATAATTTACTTTTAAGAGGGCTGCAAGCAAACGCTATTTAAGTTTGGAGTTAAAAGAAAGCAAAGAATAGAGTTGAAGAGTAAGAAAGAAGTTTACAGAAGATTTGATTATAAATTGCATGTGTTAGAAAAACAAGAAGACAGAAGAGAATTCCAAAAGCATTGATACCCAAGGAAAAAAAATCAGATGAATAAAAATGTAAAGATGAACAAAACGCAATCTTACTTTGATGAGAGAGAAGTTTAAGCTTGGTAGATAAAGTGAGATCTTGAGTTTAAATAAGAAAGGAAATCATTAACAGAGCCAGTCCAAACATGATAACAGAAACTCATACAAGGGCAAATAAAAGATTTATAGAAATAAAGAATCAGGAGAAAGAAAATGGCAAGCATCATGAAATAAGCATTTCAAAAACTTAACAATACTGTATATATGTTTTTATATTAGGTCAGTGGTAAAAGATAATCCAAGAAGACATAAAGTAGAGAACTCAATAAGTGTGTCGGTATTAATCAATATGGGAACATCAACAATATTGTGAAAATTATTAGCAATAAATAATTGAGTTTTGTTTGGAATTAAATTCATGAGCCATTGAAAGCGCAAACTGTCACAGAAGAGAGATCACAATCAAAATTGGTTGCCTGTTCTAAGAGATCAATAAGCTTATGTCAAGACTGCAGTATATGGCTGTGCCAACAAAAAGAGATTAAAAAAAAAGTTTTTTATTTATAGTTAAATAGCAGTAGATTGAGGGGATCAAAATCTTTAATCCTCTCAATCAAAAGAGATTATCAATCAAAAAAAGATGATAAATTGATTGTCAGAGAGTTTAAGTTCTTATACTCAAGATATAATTTTATAAGTTTGTTAGTTAAAGACTCAAAGGCTTTAGTTATAATAGTAAGAAGACTTAGTTCAGCCTTATCTCATCTGAAGAGGTTAATGAGACCATTTAAAAGAGATGGAATGTCAAACTTGCCTTTGTTAACAATATGGTTAAAGATTTTGAAAAAGTTTTTAGGACCTAATACCTGAAATAAAACACAAGGTTTAGTAACCTTAGAATAATGGACCTTAACATCATTTTTAAGAGAGTTAAGACAGTTAAGAGATTTCTTATTAAAAAAATAAAAGAAATGAGTCCAATCATTTGATGAAGACTAAAAAATTATGTCTAAATTATTATAAAACTTTACATTGTTTTGTCTATTGTTGTTTGCCAATGCACTTTGGAATGTAAACAAGGCAACCTGTCTATTTTAGTGATTCAAAAATATTTCAGATATCTCAAAAACCTCAAACAATACTTCATGAAATTTTAAACCTTTAAATTAAAATTTTGAGATGTATGGAACATTGTGTTAATACATGGAGTTTTTTTTTTTAACTTCATTTTTTGTTATAAAATTTTTCCTGTTAATCTAAACTAAAAAAGATATAATAAATACCTGATTTCTTTTAGGTATGTTTTGGACACTTTTTACATGTGACATAAATTGCAATGTAGCAAATGTTTCGGAAAAGTCCCCATCTTTAAAAAATAAAAATACTAAAATTATTTTCTTAAAATTTTTTTAATGAATATTACATTAAATTAAACAGATTATTTTACATAATATTTCATAGTAATACAATATGTAACATTAAATTACATATTACTTTATACTACATTATATTATCATTGCTTAAATGTTATTACTACATCATAAATATTTCATACTATAAAATATTACATAATAATAATCTTAACTTTTTTTAATTTTAATAAAAATTAAAAAATGTTTTAATAAGAAATATTTGTTTTGATGAAATTAAATTATAATACAAAAGATTATTCCATGATGTACAAGTAATGTTACACAATTAACAATATAATTCTAATTAATTTTACCTGATGGAGACACATGACCTATGAAAACTGTATACCCATTTCCTCCAAATGCCACCTAAAACACAATTAGAGAATTTAATTAAAAGATAAGTGAACTTTAATTAAACTAAAACTAGAAAGATAAAACACTGCTTACATCAGTTGAACTATTGTTTGTTTGTTTTTTTAATTAAAATTTTATGTTATGATTGTTTTGTTTTTATATATTCTACTGAAAAATAAAAAACTTGAATTATTGAACTGAAAACAACATTAACGAGATAAGGTTTTGATTAGCATATAAATTTCTCACATCAGATTTGGTTTGGTTAAATCTTTTTATAACATAATATATAAATCCTATATATAATTATACGATATAAATTTTTTTTTTAAATTACTAATTTATTGTGAATTTAAATTAACTAAAAATTCTAATGAATAAAAACTGATTATTTGATGTTTGTTTTTTTATTACTGCATTTACCTCCTCAAAGCTCAGGATGCTACTAGATTAAAGAATGCTACTCTTTGCCTTCAAGCATTGTGAAACTCTAAGCAAAATCTGCTGTCTCAATGTAGTGGCAATAGTACTTTACCTTGGTGGTATCACATGCTATAGTTCCACCTTTCTCATTTCTAATTCAGACTTACCTCTGAAAAAGAATGCATCACAACACCCATATCTGGTTCACTGTTCAAGTTCAGCATGATACTACATGGGACATGGTGGGAATCAAAGTTGGAATTTCTTGATTACATAGCAAGCACTCTACCAATACCCAATTCGATGAAAACAAACGATAGCTCAAGTAATATATCACAACGATGCGATACTTAAAATTTATCCTGTTAAATCAACTATTTATTTTTAAATGGTTCGGTAAAATATTAAAATTGAAAATCATAACAAATGTATCATTTGCTTTGCTTGCTTCCTATATAAATAATTAACTTCCTTCCTATATAAAAAAATTTTCTCTGGCAATGTTTTATGAAAATTTTTTAAAGACATCAAACTTACATAAGAAAATTTTAAAAGATATATTATGGCATAATAACAGATCAACTAAAGCTCTATCTTACTTAAAAACTTATTAAACATAAATACTACTTTCATCAGTTTAGAAAATCAATGTGTATATAATCCTATAGTACAACAAAATTAAAATAGTATAAACAATTGTATTAAATTGTTTTGATAAAAAAAAAAAAGAAAAGATAAAGAACAAAAAAATAAAAGTCTTACATACAAAATTGAAAAGTAAAAAAAAAAATTGATAATAATGAATGCACTTGAAGCTCTAATTTACAAACCTGAAGTAGCTTTGTCAATTTTGATTCTTCATATGGTACAACTTTTGTTCCTTGTTTCAATGTCATAACAACATTGCGCAATGAATTTAGGCTAAAAAAAATAAAATAGCAAACCTGTTATGTACACTTCTAAATTTATGTTTCTTGATTGCGTAAAAAAAATTAAAAACATCTTTATTTTAATTTTACTCTATTTTAGTTTGAATTTATTTTAGTTTTAATTTATTATAATTTTAATTTTAATAATTTTGCATATTTTAGTTTAAGTAGCATTTTAGCCATTTTCTACATTATGTAAACAAAATAAATCACAATGCCTTGCATCTTAAAAAAAGCAATTTTAAAATAAACTTCTGAAGTTAATATGGTCATTCAAATACACAAATATGTATAACAGTCATGCAACAATTTTATATGAGTTTAAATTAAAAAAATATAATTTCTTTTTTTCAATATCTACAATATATACAAGCAACAATTAGAGTTGGAAATAACTGGCAGAGAAAAGATGAAGTTTATAGAGCAAGATAACGATTTACAGACAACTTAAAGTTTGCAAATTATATGAATCAGGAAAAGCACAAATGCCTCCTCCAAACAATCAGAGAGTGTTGGCTTCTTATTACGAACCCTTGAAGTTCAAGGAAATGAAGAAGAGTGCTGTCCATCAAGGACAATTTTTATACTACAATTGGAAAAAAAGGATTTAATAATCTAGAAGATGTTACCAGATACACCAGAAGAAGAAAACTTATGGGGAAAACTAGCATGCCAAACTTTATCAGAAGCTTTAGAAATGTCAAGAGTGATAGCCTTAACCTCTTAACCTCAATCTAATGCACAATAAAACCTATCAGTTATGTTTGTTAATTAATGACTCAAAAACCTTGCGAATGATAGGAAGAAGACTAATGGGTGGTAGTTAGACGAGTCAGATCGCTCTCCAAAATTTTTGAAAATAGGGATAACAGATGCTGCGTTCCAGCAGATTAAAAAACAAGACTCTGAAAGCATTTATTAAATAGTTTTGAAAACATAGAGGACAGCGCCAGAGAACACTTCTTCAAAACTATAACAGATATGTTGTCCGAACCACATCTGTAGAAAAGTCCAAGCAGGAAACCTCTTTAGATAAAGAAGTTAGATTGATATGAATGTCAAGCAATGGATCAACCTATTTGTTAGCTATATCAGGTAGAACACAACTAGTGAAATTGAGAGATGATATTGATAAAAAGTTCTTAGCAAACAAATCAGCTTTGTCTTTGGTCAGAACCATACAAGAGAGGTGGAATAACAGATTTGCCCTTATTATTGATACTGTTAAAAATTCTCCAGAAGAGCCTAATTTTTGTGATGAAATATGAGATTTCATGACCTAAGAATAGCAGGCTTTAACATTAGACAAAACCTTTTTACAATTGTTTCTAGGAATAGTAAACAAGTGTCTATTTTCTAGAAAATTATTTTGCTGATAAATATGGAAGTAATGTTTTTGATTGGAAATTTCAGCAACACAATGTGAGGAAACCATGGAGAGATTGAGTCTTGACTTGAAGAGGGAATCATTAAGAGGGAATAAAAGATTTCATGCCAGCTTGAATCCACGAAGTTATGTAAGAAGCACATTTGTCAGAAGAAAGATAAAAGATTTCTATCCAAGGCCCATCACAAAGAAAATCACGGAAAGACTCCCAATCAACTTTAAGGTAGTTGCAAGAGGTACGATGATAGGGGGATTCTGATGATAAAGAAGAATGTGATAATAGTTTTAGAGATATGTGCTTTTGTTTATATATAAAAGTATATATAAACAGAAGCACATAAAGGATTCAAACCTAGTTTCCCAACAAATGGATGAATTCTTACGAATATAAATGCCCAGACCAAGCACGCGACTATTGGAGTCTTTACGAATTAAAGGAAGATAACCATCAACACCAAGATCACAAGATGAGACAGCTGAACTCCAATTAGTCTCACAAAAAGCAAGTAGGTCTGGTGAACTTTGCAAGAGATAAGACTCAACAGAAGAAAAGTTACTTCAAAGACCACGAATATTTGTAAATGATAGGTTAAGAGAACTTGGTGATAACAATGGTTTTTTTGTGTTTTATAGTTTTTAGTACTTTACTCATTTTTAAATTTGAAGAATAATAGAAGAATTTAATTATAACTTCGCACAAAAATTTCTTGGTGCCTATATTGCAAACCCATCATCCAGTTTTTGTGATGACCATGTATTACCATAACAAAAGCTCTTCCAAATACTGTTTCAATACCAGATCCATTCCATGATGTAAAAGACAAACTGCTATATATAAAAGTTATTGTATAAACTAATTATCTGATTTGAATGCTTTTATTTACTAATTTTTACTCCAAACAAATCCTGTTGTTTCAATAAGTGGCAATAGTATTTAATTTATGTAGCAACACATACTATAGTTACCTTTCTCATCTCCATTTCAGACTCACCTCTGAAATAAAATGCATCACAACTCACATCTCTGGTTCATTTTTCAACAGTAACATTTACTTATTGCTCCTAACTTAGATTTTTTACTATTAATGCAGCTTTTTTTTAATGACTCTTTTTTACCATTTAAGACTCTTTTAGCCTGTCTGCTGCCAGTTTACCATTATCATTTAACTCTTCACAGCCTAACTTTTTTTTTTCTCATCTCAGCTAATTCACACTCATCCAATCTAAATTCATTCATCAAAAAAGGTATTAAAACTGCTTTTGTACGCAACTGATTTTTATTTGTACGCAACTGATTTTTATTTTAAACTTTTTTTGTCGCTTGATTAGCTTTTCTGGGCTTATAATACTACATTTCTACACATTTCAGCTAATTCATGTTCACCTAAGTCATCTCTTTCTTTCAATTGGCTTTTTTGAATTCTTAATACCACCTTTCTTTTCAAATTTGTATACCTCATCATTAGCTTTTTTTGAATCAATTCAGCCATATATAAACTTTACATTATTTTATCATGTTATTATGTAATTCAGCCATATATAAACTTTATGTTATTTTATGACATTATTTTGTAATTTTATCATAACTTTCATTTAACAAAGGCTGATATTAATTTCAGTTTGATCAGAATGAGCTACTGGTAATTCATCTATCTGCTCCATAGCTACAGATAATTCATCAACCCACTCACTTTCATAAGTTGCCAGTAAAATAACTTGAACTGTAACATTATTAAACAATTTCTCCTTAATGCAATCAGTGTTAAGATTGCTTTAGTAATCCAGTTATTAAAATTAAAGTTTTATTTAGACCTATTTTACTTAGACTTTACAGCATCAATATTTTATATAAAAAAGTAGTGTAGTAAAAAAATTGTAATTTGTTAGAATAGATTGCTACATTACATATTACCTTTTTGATATGAATGGTGCATCTTCAGATTTGCTTGTATGTTCAGAGCCTATCAAATAACAAAAATAACAGTCATGATATATAAAATAATGTTTAAACTCGATTAAACAAAATAATTGAAAGTTATATAGAAAGTTTACTAAACATTTAAATTTTTTAGTAATTCAAAAAAATCTCCATTTTTCAGTCAAACAATTTCAGTCTGGAAAAATTAAAGGTGTTATTCTTTGTACCATTTTCTAAAAATTACTGAAATCTTGTTACACTGTTATGAAATTGCTATATAACTGAATGTTATACCAAATATTTCGAATGGGATGATAACTAGTTTAATTAACTAGCCTACTTTTATTTTCAGCAAATATTAACATGAGATAATGATGTATTAATAATCATTTAAAAAGAATAAAGAGTAGGGTAAGGTTATTTGAAATGGTGAGGAGCAAAGATTTTCCATGACCAACTTGACCATGACCATGTTTTATTAACTGCTAGTACACCGCTAGTACAAAAATAACATTATTGATAACTAACAATAGAAAAAGAAAAGTAAATAAGAAACCGTTAGGTTAATATTTATTTAAAGGAGTGCACTAAAATCGCTTTTGTTTCAAAACACAGTAAGAACTATACAAATTTGCTATTTAAAATCCAGGACATTTCAAAAAGTATTCAACAAAATAAACTAAACTTGTTTCTTTGCCTTCTTAATAATAAAACAACTTCAGACATTATCTTTTCACAACTGAAACACCCCTTATTTAAACATTCGTTTGTTGGCGCTATCCAGGACCTATGTTGTTTTTAAATTTTCAAAATTTCATTCTAAGTAAAAAGAAGATAAAAATAGCACTTTCTAAAAGTAAAATTCCCTCCGAAGTTAAACAGACTTTGAAATATGCAATAGAGTGCTGAAATGCGAAAAAACAGAAAGGAATTTTTAAACAAATTAATGAACAATGTTTTTTAAAATTGTATAAACAAATCCTAATTAATAAGTCACAGTTAACATATATATAAACATAATCTTATTATATACAACATACCAGCCAATTCTATGAAAGAGATAGTAGACTTTGTGCTTTTGAATTGGGAACCTCCTTTCGCTCTTTGTTCAATGTATATTGAAAAAACTGTTGTAGTCCTTTAAAAGTAAAAACCTTTGAATAATAACTTTTTAAAAAGTAATATTCGTAAACTGACAAGTAAAAGAAAATAAATTAAAGCTACTTTCAAAATTATATATACATATATATGAATACATTTTAATAAGTTAAATAAATATGTCACTGTAAATAATGTATTTTCAACTATATATGTGTGTATATATATATATATATATATATATATATATATATATATATATATATATATATATATATATATATATATATATATATATATATATATATATATATATATATATATATATATATAAAATATATATATATATATATATATATATATATATATATATATATATATATATATATATATATATATATATATATATATATATATACAAGGATGGGCGAAGTCAACATTTCAAGATCCAAATTTAACTGAAAGACAAATTTGGACCTTTTAACCAAATTTAATTAAGAGCCGAATTAGGATTTTAAAAACTCATTCAATTGAAAAAGAAAATTGAACTTTTATGTTGAATTTTAACTTTTTTTTTTGTAGTTATTAAGGTGCTCCCAGAAGTTCTTACGCTCTTACCACAGAGCACCGCGAAGGAGCATTTAACTGGGAAGTTCACGCCTTCTTTCTTATCAATATTGTTTATTATTAGAGTCAGTCTTAAGCCTCTGAGTTCTGGGAACTAAGCCAGAACTCTAACCACTGAGACACAGCTGAGTTATCATGCATTTTCTTGCATTAGCTTAACTTATCATGCATTAACCAAATAAACATTTAATAATATTTAAAGAAAGTAGATTTTTAGCAAACTGCAGAAAATAATATGAGTTAAAGCCTTAAACTTTATTTTATAATTTGAATTTTTTTTTTTTGTTTTTTTTTTTGCAAAATAATTCTATGTAATGTAGAATATTAGTAGGTGTTTGCTCCAGAAGAGAAGAGTGATTCAATTTCCTTAGCAGATGAGTCTAGATGATGTTCAATTTGGATGCATGTTTTGATCAGTTCATATCTGTCATGCTTTGTTCAAAGGAATTTGTGTTAAAAGATTGGGTCTAGCATGTGAGCACTCGCATAGGTGGTGTTCTCAACACCATCTTCTTTATATTATTTTGTAATTTGCTCATCCATAGCTGTTGCTAACTGTTTCATATACTTTTCATTCTTTTGGTTAGCAAGTCTGATATTGAAATAGCTATAAGCACAAAGAATAGTAAATAAGTAAACACATATGTAGCCAATTTCATGAAAGTACAAAATAAAAAACAAATGTGAATGAAAAATTAATTTAGTTATAAATACAAAACATATCTAATTTCAGGTTTATAAAAATATAAAACAAACCAGTTATAATGATTCAAAATATAAGATCAAAAAAATAACCTTATAAATATATAAATATATATATATATATATATATATATATATATATATATATATATATATATATATATATATATATATATATATATATATATATATATATATATATATATATATATATGTATATATATATATATATATATATATATATATATATATATATTATATATATATATATATATATATATATATATATATATATATATATATATATATATATATATATATATATATATATATATATATATATTAGTATTAATATTAGTTTATGCTGTGACTGGCATTGCTACTAGTGAGTGTTGTTTTAAAGCACACTATGACAACTGAGTCTTTTGATGGTTTGACTCCCATCGATTTAAAGTCTTGCTTTAAATAAATTTATTGAATTAGCTTCAATAACATTTCTGGTAGTGGATTCCAATAATTTGCAGCTAGATTAAGTCAAATATTTTCTCTGTAACTATGTACAGAAAATTCTTTAGAATTCTTTAGGTTATGGCCACGAGTACAATTAGATTTGAAGGACTTATTTTCTTAAAATTCAACTTTATTGTAACCTTTGAAAATTTTACAGTTTGTTTTTTTTTTATACAAATTTTTACTGTTTTTTATTTATACAAATTTATACAGTTGAACTATGTCACCTCGTTGTCTTCTTTTAACTAGTGAGAGCATTCTAAGACAAGCTAGTCGATCTTCATAGCATAATTTATTGATTGATGGTATTAATTTATTGGAACGATGCTGTCTTTCTAAAATGGCAATACCTTGTTTTTGATAAGGACCCCATACTGATATAACAAACTCTAGAAGTGGTTGAGCAAAAGAAAGATATAGAATCTGATATATTGCATTTATAACCATTTATATAAATTGAGTATCTCTTATTTTTATAGCCATAGTGCATAACTAACCTTTTGTCAATATTAAAGTTAAGCAACCAATCTTGTGTCCAAGCATACGCAGAGTTCAAATCACATTGTAGTTTATTATGTAACTTCAAATCACATTGTAGTTTATTATGTTTATTTTTGTTTCCTCAATTAAATTTAATGGTTTTGATATAAAATGTATTTAATTTTGTTAAGTTATATGTCATAGAGTAGTAAAGAGCAGTTTTTTTACCACAAACGGTAAGTTTAAGACCTTTACTATATGTATATATATAAATATACTCATGTGTGTATATATATATATATATATATATATATATATATATATATATATATATATATATATATATATATATATATATATATATATTTTAGGGTTTTGACATTCTTGTATCCTCAGTTTCCTATATAAAAAATAGATGACAAAAGTTTTTCTCTATAAAAAACTTTCTTCTCATTAATTTTTTGATTACTTGTGTTGAATATTTTATTTCAGAAGAAATTTTGCGTTTTTTTTTTTCAAAGTTGGTTTTATAATTATTTGCTGGGTTTTATATATCAATTCATTTTCTATGAAAGCATATCAACTTGAGTCTCAAAAAAAACATAATTTTATTAAGAATATAAAATTTATAACCTTTTTTATTAAAAAAAAATTGTGAAAATATATTCTTTTTTATTTAAATTTCTATTTTCTCATTTTTATTTCTTTGTCAGTTAAATTTCTGTATTTAAGATTAGCAATAACAGCCGCATAAGGAGATCACATTCCAGAAACAATAAATAAAACTATTATATATTTAAAATAAATGGTGGTTCTATCAGCATATGGTGATGTATACCAGACTCAAATATTGGCTGTCCTATAATATACAAAGGAAGACTGAACCAGTAACATTGGAAATTCTGCATGTTTTGATCTCAAATAAATCACAACTTATTTGAGGCTGGTCAAAACTTGTTCTTCTAACAAGATAATGCTCCATGTCATACAGCACATTAAATCACCAATTATTACCTTAAAATTAAAATTCCGACTCATGCCTTGACAATTACGATCACCTGTCTTAAACCCAATCAAATAAGTATGGAGGTAGATAGTCAAATTATTAAAAAAGCAAATAATTAGTCATGAAATGTTAAAAAAAGCCATCTGTGGCTTGAGACACTAATCAAGATGATTGATAACTTTATTGAATCAATGCTAAGATAATTACAAAGATCTATCAAAAATAACAAGATTCATATTCCGTATTGATATACTTTGATTATAAAAAATCTTTAGGTGAGTTTAAACTTTATTTCACTTTCTTCTCATTAATTTTTTTATTACTTGTGTTAAATATTTTACTTCAGAAAAGATTTTGTTTTTTCTTTCAAAGTTGTATTTTTTCTTAATAATTGGCTAAGAAAAAAAATAAACGTAAACCCTTCATCTGGCTTTCTCTTTTTACAAGACTAAACTTAGCATAGCTTACAAAAAACAACTATATTAAAACTTTCTGTACAAGGTGTATATATATACATATATATAATGCAAACCTCGCTGATCCATTTATATCTGTTGTTAATTTTCTAATTCTTAATCCTTGATCACAGAGTCTAATCACATCATCATTTGTTTGAACAACAACTTCAGCTATATCATCAACATACCTTAACAAAAATGAAAACAATAAAAATTGAAAATAACATTTTTTTTAATGGATAACATTAACACAAAAAAACCTACAGGCCTAATTGTGGATGATGGCGCACTTTGAGATCAATTCCACTTGGATTAATAAGATCATACAAAAAACTGTCACCAACCTATAAAAAATAAGATTATATGCTAAACTGTAGCCAAACAAGATACTACAACAAATAAGAAAAAGGTTTATGTGTTAAAGAACCAAGTTTATGTGTTAAAGTGTCCTTTTTTTTATCTATAAAAAATAATTAATCTATTCTTTATATATATATATATATGTAAAAACACAAATTAGTAAAAAATTATATAATATAAAGTATTTTATATTTTATAACTTTAAAATTTTAAAAATATTTATAAAGTTTTTACAGCTGTCCATTTGAATTATTTATATTTATCTCTCAATGTAGATTCTTTCTTGCAACCTTGCCTCAGGTTATTATTAATGGGCAATTTTTAACTCCCCATTTTACAGATCTAACAACAAATTCCTAATTTTTTTTTATCTGAAAGTCTCAGTATTTATTGCTGATGCTGCATTACAATAATAATGGCAGTTCATACTCAAAACTAGTTTAGAATCAATAGACACCTGACTCATTAGATGTACTCCATCATCTGGTTTATTTTTAATTAGCATCGCACAGAGTTCAGTATCAGATCCACTATTATTCATGTTTTTACTGTTACAGAAAGCAAATTTCAACTAATGCTCTCAAAACTTGTGTAAATTATTGTTTTATTTATATAAACATTAACAATTTGCAGTTATTATAAACATTATTAATATGCATTTATTATAAACACTAGCATTTCGGACACATAAAATACGGGTCTTGGTAAGTCTATTCTACACTGACTGTTTCTATACTTATAAATTACTTTAACATTTTTTAATAAGTGAAAAACTATACATATTGTCTACATTTTACAGTTATGAATAAAAAAAAATTTATACATAACTTTGAAAAATTTCAAACACTTTGGAAGTCGCTGCGCGAACCGCTAGTGGTAAAAAATAAAAATCTGTCAAATCTTTGTTTTGAATTAACAATTAATGTTTAATACTTCATAACTTTTTTTACTTTATAACTTCTCTAAAAAAAACAGCTACAGACTTATATTTTTTTTTTCTTTATTTTCTATTAAGTTTTTATTAAATTTTTTTCAGACCACCTGCAGCTTATTAGAAACCTTAGAAGTTGTCTCTTTAATGTGTGTTGAACATGTAAATAAAAAATGTTGTCTATTTAATATATGTTGAACGTGTAGACTCAACTAATTACATAAGCACATTAGTACATTATACATACATAAGCACATTAGCACAGAGGTACTCAAGTACCTCTGAGCTAATGTGCTTATGTATGTGTAATGTACCTATGTGACAAATGCTTAATGAACCTCTGTGACAAATGCCCAAAAAAATATATGTGTAATGAACCCCTGTGACAAATGCGCAAAAAATTTGAATTGTTGTTTTGATGTTTATTGCAATTTTAAGCTTTATAGAAACTCTCTCCCTTTTGTTTGTTATATCTTTATATATCAACATTATTATATCTTTATATATATTTATATTATATTATATATATATATATATATATTATTATGTATTTTGGTTATTATATCTTTACATATCAACAATAAAACTTTGAAAATGTTTTAATTTGTATTTTAGAAAATTGGAAAAGAAAAAAATTTAGCAAGCAACAGGATTTGAACACTTACATTGTACTTCAAAAAAAATTAATATGCAAGCAACAGGATTTGAACACTCACATTGTACTTAAAAAAAGTTAATATGCAAGCAACAGGATTTGAACACTCACATTGTACTTCAGAAGCACAGCTAGCTAACCATATCACTAAGACTGCCACTAAACTGTTAATTTTTAATACTATTTAAATAATTAAAGACAGAATAACTTTATAAAACGGCAAATAAATGCTTCAAATCAAAATTAACAAAATTTTGCTGCAAATGCTTTAGTTTTACTTTAATTTTTAAATTAAATTAAAAGTAAAAATATCTATTTTAAAAAATTGAAAAAGATTTAAAAATTAAACAAACAATGTGGAAGAGCAAGGATTTGTACCATGGCATTTCACTTTACAATGCTGCAACCTAACCACTTCTGCCACTAAGGCATATTGTTTGATGAAATTTTTAAAACTATTTAATAAACAAAAAACTTTTTAAAACAACAAATAAATGGTATAAATTAAAATTAAGGAATTGTTGTCAATTTAAAAATTCAATGGCTTTTAAAAGTGTAATGGCTGCCATGACTTCCATGTCAAACACTCATGAATAAATGCTTGACACAGAAGTCAGCAGCAGCATAAAATTAAGAATTAAAATATTATAGGATTAATAATAAGAAATTATTATAAATGACTTTTGACAAAAATGTTGTTGTGCAACCACATAATGTGACATTAAAAAAAAAGTTTAACAAAATTTAAATAAATCTTTAGGATATAAAGGTATTGTAAAAATGAGCATTTACCTCAAGCATGGAAACCATCAAAAAATAATCTTTTACATTAGAAGCATCTTCAATCACTTTAAAAATTGTTTCACTTGCCTAAAAAATTTGATGAAAAATGAAATATATTTTATTCATTATTTTATATCCAAAACAAACTATTTTTTTAAAATTTCAAGGAAACTAGATTCTTTTTAAATGTTTAGAATTGATAACTAATTTTTACTAAAAAATATTATTTAAAAAAATACAACTTTTTCTAAATTTTTAAAGTTGGACTTTACCAAGCTTTGTACTGCCCAAGTTAGGCCAGACAAAGTTAGACTGCCTAAAATTCTGATTCTTAGTGGTGTAGTCATATTTAAAAATAAAAAATCATAACAATATATGGCTATTAATCAGAAAAATATTGCAATCAAACAAAAAGATAATGAAACCAAGTAAAAAAATAAAGAAAAATATATTGCATTAAGTCAAAAAGATATTGCAATAAATCAAAACAATATTGCAATCCAAAAAATATATATAGCAATCAAAATTGATATTTTACTTAAAACAGTTTAGAAATCAATCTTACTCTTGAAATTAATCCAGGATCTTCTAATGTTCCATTAATAGTGTGAGACTTTCCAGAATCATGCTATAATTAAAAATCGTCTTTGAAAAAACATAATTTGTTAACTATTAGCTTTATACTATGTTAAAGTAAAGATAAATATGTAGACTACACGGGTAAAACCACAGATGTCACATTTTTCTCATTTTGAGAAAAATGAAATTAATGTTTAGTGTCATTGAATATCTGTTTGTTAATAATGTACTTAATTAAAAGTATACTTTTATGAGATTTTAGTCCTAACACAATATGTAAATGCAGTTTTTGTGCTAAATACAAGAATTATTTATTCATAGTGTTCTATTGAAAACAAGAAACTCATTTTGGACATCTTTGATTTTTCCATTGTAAATTTATCAACTCATAAACCACGTTAGCTTATAACCTTTTAGAGCAATTATTTTTTTAAAGGTAGATGGTAACACATTGTAATATACAACCACAACGTACTAAGTGTGTGAAGGGATAATAAAGCCCCCTCCTCTTTCTTTTCATAAAAAAATTCAAATAAAAAATTATATAAAAGTTTTTTTTTTAACTTTATACAAAATAGCATTGCAACCTTATATCTTTCCCAACCTCATTTTTTTACCATAAATAATTCCATGATGTCTGTGTTTCATCACTTCATATCAAGTTTGTATAAACCATGCAAAAACCAACTGTGAATAACACGTTAATAAAAATGTGTTTTTTTAATTTAAAAAAAAAATAAAATAAATTTTTCAAAAATAAGATAAAATAACATAAAATATTAAAACATTTTTTGAGTTATGAATTTTTAAATTAAAATAGCTTAGTACTAAAATATCATAAAAATATATAAAACTTGAAATTTTCAAAAAGTGGACATTTGTGGTTTTACCCGTGTGGTCTTCATATAGCTCATAACTATTATTAAAGACAACTATTATTTAATATAATAATTTAATGTTAAATTATTTTTTTTATGTAATAAATTTTATCTAACATTAAAATATTATATATATATATATATATATATATATATATATATATATATATATATATATATATATATATATATATATATATATATATATATATATATATATATATATATATATATATATATAAATGCATGTATGTATGTATGCATGAATGTATGTATGGATGTATGCATGCATGTATGTATGTATGAAGTTGTAGATATGAATTTGTAAATATAAAATAATAGATATAAAGTTGTAGATATGGAATTATAGATATAAAACTGAAGAAATGAAGTTGTAAATATGGAATTGTATATTTAAAATGGTAGATATGAAGTTATAGATATGAAATTGTTTTTAAGTTATTAGCTTTTATGATTAAATGATTACTTTTTATTTATTGAATAATAACTTTTTTGAAATACATTGATAAAAAAAAAAAAATAAACCTGTCCAAATGCAATAACAGAAATATTGTACCCATCCAATGCTTTTCTCAACAATGGTTCAGCTAAATCTTTAAAAATTTCATTCTAAAATTTTGTATGATAATATTATTAGTAACTTATTATTTTATTGGTATACCTATACATAATATAACTACAAAGTTCAAAATAAGTTCTGAAAAAAGACATTAATCAACAAACATTAATTAACAGTAGCAACAACAACAACAACAACAACAACAACAACAACAACAACAACAACAACAACAACAACAACAACAACAACAACAACAACAACAATAACAAAATGAAATAATCTTACATTTTTAGCTTCTGTAAAGTAACAATTTTCATATGAAAAACTGATTTCCTAAAAAAACCATAATTCTAATATTTATTTAAAAGAATTATAAAACATTTTGAATAAATTTATTATTTTTTAAACTTATCAAGATAAACGGTAATGTATAAATAAATAAATTTGTTTTTGAATAAAATTACCTTAGAAGAACCTGGCAGTGCAGCATTGTGCAGTGATACTTGATCACCTTTGATCTTTAACACCCGTGTGGCACCACTGTTTTTCTCCGATGCTACAAAAAGATTATAAATTAACATGGTTTAATACCAACCTTTCCTTTATTTTTTCATTTAATTAGGGTTTATTGCAAAAAAGAAAATAACTTTCTTACAAAAAAATCTAAATAGAGTGTCTACATTTCACTTATTATTATCAACATTAAATAATCACATGTATTCTTAAATAAGACTTTTTTTCTCTCAATAGTGAGAGTGCCATTCATAATAAATGAGAGTGCCTTCAAAACCCCAATAACTTTTTTGCTTTGGTGAAATTGGGACTATTTTGATTTTTTTTTAAATATTTAATTTAAGTTGTTCAGTGTTTAAATTCTTGCTTTGAAACTCAGGATGTTCCTAGAAGTATGCTGAACTTTAGAGCAGTGGCTTTGCTCCTCAAAAAATTTTAGAGTTATAAAATTGAGTATTATAAGAAAAATTAAACTAAAAGAACAAATAATGATACAAATTTTTTTTTTTTTTTTTTTTTTTTTTTTTTTTTTAAAATAAATCAAAATGGTAAACTAACAAACTCTGATAAACTGCATACAAACTACTTAAAAATTACTCAACTACTAATTAAAAATCTAGTTATATATCCTGTTTTAAAATTGAAAAACACATTAATAATATACATAACAATAAAAGTATGAAAAAACAAAATTATGAATAACAATAAAACGTTTAGAATATTATTATTATGAATAACAATAAAACATTTAGAATATTTTATTTTATAAAATAAAAATTCCTAAGGAAATTACTTTAAATTACTTCAACTAATAAAAAACAGCTTTTGTTATTTTAATATTAAAATGAAATGGTTTAAAAAAACTTGTTTTAAAAAAAGCTTGAATTTAATTATGCATTTATGAGTTCCATTTTATTTTGTATATCAACTTAGACTCTTTTAAAATTAAAAATTGCTATTGAATATTAGTTACCACATAAAGTAAAATATTAAATAAGAAATAAAAAATTGCCAAGCAATTTAAACAGAAATAATATTCACTAAAGCCTTAACTGTTTTTAGGGATGGGTTTTGTCTTACAATATAGAATCTAGTTTATGTAAAATATATAAATCACCTGAACCCTTTTATGCCCTTGAATAAAATATTGCTTAAATAAAATTTAAATAAAACCAATTAAATAGTACATCTACAAATAATTTATAAAAACAATAAGTCTTACTAGATAAAGGTCGACAACGCACTGCTACTTGAATTGACGAACCTTCAGGCTAAAAGAAAAATTGCATACACATAAAACTTTATCATAACAAAGTTAATTAACAAAATTATTATATTAAAATAAATACAAAAATCACACATTTAAAAAAGATGCATTTTACTAAAGACATCCTTTTCTAAAAACTATAAGTTGTTTTTCAAGTTTAGATTATGCTTTCAATAAGAATGAACTAAAAAATTAGAAAAGTTTGCACTTAGCATGATCAAAGCCAATTACAAACAAAAAAGATAAAAAGCAATATGTCATTAACAAGGATATTTCAACAAACAATAAAGTTAAAAAGCAATATGTTACTAACAAGGATATTTCAACAAAAAATTACAACCTTACAATCGAATTGTTAATTTCAAAAAACCTTTTAAGTGCTTTTGAATTTTCATAAAAGTGAAAAATTTTTTTTTTAATTTTATGAAAATTATACAACTTAACTCATATATAGCTAAAAAATTAGCTATATATATGAGTTAAGCTATATATATGAGTTATATATATAAAAGCCTTAACTAACACGGCTTCACTATGCCTAGGCCTATTTTACTATTATGTATAGGCCTAAGCCTGACAAACTTCTGGGACTGGGGTTAATAAACCTAATTCAGGACCTAGGCCCTAGCCTAGCCCAGACTTTTTGTAATTGTAAATAGGCCACTGTAGCCTATAAAATATATTTTTAATTTATTAGCCCTACTTTGTTTTAGATGGAGAGTTATCTGTCGATGGAGTAAATGATGACAAATTAGAGGCTGGCTTGCAGAACAATGATGCTGTGGACGAGAACGGAGATCCAGAAAGAGACTATACAGCAGCTCCAGTTCAACGAGGAAGAAAGAGGTAATGAGAAGAGCACCTTAGAGCCAGAAACATGAGAAAACACCAAAGGAATTCTGGTCAAACATACACTAGCATTACCAAAAAACAGGTACAAGCCAAAGTTTTTAAAAACATCCAATGTACTTGTCGTTAGAAATGTTATAACCTAATAACTGAGGAACAGAAACAGAATACATTCAAATCATTTTGGGAAATGGCTAACTTTTCTCGTCAAAATGCGTATTTGTGTGGTCTTGTAAAATGAACGCCTATTAAACAAAGGAGACCCAGAAATAACAGCCATGGCATGCGAGTCTCTGCAAATGAATATTATTTAAACATCGACATATTGTCTGTTAAAGTATGCAAGCAGTATTTTCAAGGAACATTTGATGTGTCAGATGGAAGACTTACGCGTGCTATTAAAAAAGAAATGATGGGGGATTTACCTGGTAAAGATCTAAGGAGGAAAGCCCCATCAATAAACAAAACCTCCGAACTCTTGCTAGAGGATGTAATGGTACATATTAAGTTTCCCGGCTACAAGAGCCATTAGACGAGAGCCCACAACCCAAATCTAAAATATCTTTCCAGTGACTTGAACATTGCAATAATGTACAGGGCATATCAAGCCAAAGCTAAAGAGGAAAATGTTAGAAAAACTGTTTTAATGCATGTGTATAGAGGTTTGTTCAAAATAATGAACCTGCATTTTTATTGTCCAGCCAAAGACACTTGCCAGAAACGTGATGCATTTAAAATAAAAGCGTCTCTGGCTGTACGTGCAAAAGGCAGTCATTACGATGCAGCATGAAATCCATCTACGCAAAGCAGAAAAAGCACAAGAATCATTAAAATCTGACGGGGAAGCAGCAAAACAAGATACATCCGTCCACGCCATTACATCGGGTTTACAGCACTAGCATTTCCACAGTTAAGTGTGTCTGTAGCTTATTACAAGAGGAATATGTATTGCTATAACTTAGGTGTGCATGATTTAGGGAAAGGCACTGGTATAATGTATACCTGGAATGAAACTGATGGCTCGCATGGATCTCAGGAAATTGCCTCTTGTGTTGTTAAGCACATTCACTTATACGCAGCTGATAAAAACAGTATTGTCCTGTATAGCGACAACTGTACAGGACAAAATAGAAACATAAAAATGCTGATGAAGTTAGTGAGCAATCCAGACATTCAAGCGCAAGTATTCGATCACAAGTTTCTACAATCTGGTCATTCTTATTTACCGAATGATTCTGATTTTGGAAACATCGATAAAACAGCCAAACACAAGAAAATGTACGTTCCAGAAGATTGGTATGAGATAATAAGGACAACTTGCAGAAAGAACACATT